ATTAATAAATCTAGACTTAAATATTATAAAAAAAATACATATATATTATTCATTAATATTAATATACAAAAAAAAAAAAACTCAAATCTATAAGTAGCTTTAATAACAAATTGCCGCTTAGAGTTGACACCTAAATTCATGACACAAATATGAGAAGTAGTAACACCACGAACATAACACACTGCATTAGTCTAAGAAGTAGTTTACTTAAGATTAATATTTAGAAACCATTTTTAAAAATCATACTAAGCCGATTAGCTATACAATGTTAGGAGATCCCAAAAGTTTAGGCCACTACTTCATAGTGTATGGTGGTCAAAATTTACTTTAAAAGATATGCGAGTACGTGCATATATTTTTCATGCATAAAAATGGATGTCCACTCCAGAAAATTCTATTGATTTACTATGAAGAAAAACATTCATAAAAAAAATAGTGAGAGAGATTAGCAATAAATTTAAATTTATGATTATAATTAAAAGTCTATCATTGAGTAATACTATCGATTAACATAAAAATTAATCTCAAAATTTTAAGTACTTTTAATGACAAGACTCAATAAGGTAAACTTCAAGCTCTCAACCATATTATATTAGAAAATTGAAGCTTATAAGGTTTGGATATTGGTGCGGATAAAGTTTTATATATACTATGTAAATAAATATGACGGTAATATGTTAATGTATCATATGACCATATATAGATTAAATAATAGGTGCACATGCTGTATGTCCCTAGACTTGTGGAGACTATGTCCTAATTACAAATAATCAATCATTTGAACACCATAAATTCTATTCCTTAAAATTAAAATGGGATTCTACTTTTGAAATTAAAATAAATATTAAGATTTTGTATTATTAAAAATAATAATTTCACCTTGAATAAAAATACTAATTAAATTTATAAATTTAATTAGTCCATGAAATTTATATTTTACTTCTTTTATAAATTATTGTTCATAGAAACCTCTTTTATTTAAATAATATTATTACTTATGAATAAAGAATTTTTCCCATTTTTTGTAATGAAAACTTGGATATATTAAACCATAGTTAAGGGTATCACTCACATCATTCTTTTGATGAAATATCTAATAAAACTGAGATATGATAAGTAGCCTACTAAGTTTAGGTGATACAATAGAAATTTACGGTAATTACTTTCTCATTAGAGATATTATCTATTATCTATATGAGATTTTCAAAAAAATAATTAAAATAGGCACATATAATGTATATGATTTTTTATTCTATTTGCATGGTCATAAAACTACTCTTAAATTAATTTTATTTATTTGGAATTACTGAATAATTTAAATTATACTGATTTTGATTGATTAAAATGGTCATAATCAATTAAAATTATTATTTTTACATATTTATTTCTACTGCATATTTTGAAAACAAGTTTTTACTCAAAAACACAAGATATAATTATTTTCTTTTGATAAAAATCTAAATTATACCTGGGTTAATAAATAGTTCTCAGATTTATAAATATAATTAAAATGTAATTTATTTAATTTAATTGAACATCCACATTGGTGTTGCAAAGGGCGGTCCCGCAATTGCAAATGGTTGTCTAGCAGTAGATGTTACTGGATTCCAGGGCTCCGACACCATGTAAAGGGCATTCCGGCAATACTCAGTTTCGGCCCGATAGCTGCCTTAGGGCAGTCTGTCACTTAAGTTTTTGTAAAAAGCAGTCAGGCAATTTGATGGTGCACTCCGGCAGTGTGCTACCGGGTCCAAAAGTCAACATCAAATCTGGCCAAAATGATTTTTGCATATGAGAAGGCATTTCTGTTTTAAAAAGTTAACTTTTTTCCTTGTGGATATTAGCATAGAAAGTTTGTTTTGAGGAAAACAGTGAAGAAAAAGTTAGGTTAGGGGTAAGTTGCATAGAAAGTATCGTCTTGGGTTTTTTTTTTTTTTTTGTAATTTTTCCTAAAATATATAATAGATAAAATCTCTATACGCCAAGAGAGGTTTTGAAATCTTGGGTCTAGAGAGAAATAAATCTAAAAATAAGGCATACAAAGATATTTTTCCAAGATGTAAATTTGGTAAGGAAATCTATACAATGAAACAATTTACTTTTGATTATTATTGACTATTGGATGTGAAATGAGTTGGATGCGGATGTGTCATTGATTGGGCACAAAGTTCAAAATAAAATTTTTTGAATGATGTGACACACTTTAGTTGATTAGATTTCATATCCAATAGCTAAAAATTATTGTGACTTTGTATAAAAAATAAATGGTCTCTTAAGGGTCGTTCGGGTACCTGAAAATATATTACAAGGAAATAGATTACTAAGAAATATGACATTTACAATGTTTGGGTACAGTTTAATAATAAGGAAATGACAATACATTACACAAGTTTTCTTTAAAAATCATGAAAATCTATTACGCATGGGGGTGGAAAATCTGTTATGCGTGTGACGAGTAATCCATTGCACGCCATCCCCTTATTTGCTGCGGAAAAAAAGATCCATCCCAAAAACAATTTTCCCTCTCTACTTCGTACATCCTCTTCTTCCTCTCAAGCTCATCTCAAAACCTAGCAGAGCATCATCACCATCTCTCTTAACAATTTATATGGGGATAAATGATAACATGGTTGTTAAATTTGGCAGCCATTAGCATGGTTGTTACATTAATTCCAATGTATTCAAGTATTTATAAAAAGAAAATTTGTTTCATGCGGGTTGAACCACATTTCTATAATATGAGGTTCCAAGGTATAAAGCAT